AGCCATGTGTACTCATGTCTTTTTTTTTTTTTTTTGTCTTTTTGAGACAGGGTCTCACTATGCCGTTTAGGCTGGCCTTGACCTCACTTTGTAGCCCAAGATGGCCTCAAACTCACAATGATCCTCCTGCCTCAGCCTCCCGAGTACTGGGATTACAGGGGTGCACTACCACACACAGCTAAAGGGCTCTTTTTTGGGTGCTAAGAATCAAACTCAGGGCCTGCACTTACCTGGCAGGCGCTTATGGCACTGAGCTGTATCCTTGTCCCTATACTCACATCTTATTGTCCACCAAGTCCAAGGATACTTAAAATGTCCATGGAAAATAGGAATCCTGTGGGGAGTGTTTTACAGACACCAACAAGATAACCACAGCATCAACCTGCAGGATTTTGATATAAATCTATGCTTCATTCTGGGCATCACTACTTTTCTCTTGAAAAATAGCTTTTACCATGCCACCAGGCCTTGGTAGAGGCTGAATACCTGAACATGGTATGTTGGATGACCACATGAGCTAAATTTCTCATCATGACCCAGGTGTCATCTGACCCACCCAGCCAAAAGGTTGTGTATGCAAGAACACTCTATCATAGGAAGGTAATGGCTATATAATATCCAGCACTTGGGCAGGTCCAGAAGGTACAAGTAAGTTACCTGGGCAAGTGGCTCAGATTCCTTTGATTCTGGGGGTACTTTGCCCCTTCTTCCTCCTCCTGATTTCTTGGGGATGTTCTTTATTATCTTGTGTTAGTCCCTTTTCTATGAATGTAACAAAACACCAGAGGGTGAGAACTTTCTCAAGAAAACAAGTTTACTGACCTCATAGTTTTGGATACGAAAACTTCCAGATCAGACAGCTCTGTTAGTTTAGCTTATGGTGAGGGCCTAATGGCAGATGGCATCATAGCACCAGCATATGTGAGAGCTGAAGATCACATAGAGAAGCAAGATAAATCAGTCTTGCTTGGTCCAAGGAGAGACCTGTCTTACTTTTTTATAACAACTCACTCTCACAAGAATGAGCTGAATCCATAGAACAGCATTAATCCCTTCCTGGGAGGCTGCTTCCAATAACCTAACTACTTCCCCCAAACCCCACCTCTTAAAGGTTCTACCATCTCCTAATACTACCACATTGGAGACCAAGCACCCAGTACAGGGACCCTTGGGAGACAAAGCACATCCAAACCATTGCAGACCAGCTACCTCAGGGAGAAATAACAGAAGTGCAGTTTGCTGATCATACTGTATTATATTAAGTGAAAGGCATCATTATAGAAAATTTCTCCCAGTGGATAGTACTTTGAGCATTATGTTTAGTTATGTGATATGTCTGGACTAAGAAATGGCTGGTAATTCAAATGATACTAATTCATAGGGAGTTGCTAGTAGTTTATTTTCAAATGCTCTTTCAAGAGCATTAAGAAAATTGGTGACAGGGACATCTGGGGAAAAAGGATATGAATGGACCTCTTAGAATGATCACAGATTGGGAGAAATTTGTGTCATATGTGCTGACTTCATAGAAGATGAAGTCCTTAGTACTGTAATGAGGTGAGCAAACCATGTGCTCTGTGGCTGTCTATCAGCCATCCTAGAACTTGTTTACAAGCCCATGAACAGAGTGGCCATGGTGGGAGGGAGGCAGAGTATTCATTGGTTCAACCACACCCACCTCCCCTTACCAAGGCTGGACTGGCTAATACTACTGATGAGGGTTAATGTGTCAACAGTAGGGAGAAACATTAACCCCCTAGTGTTAACCATTCACCTGGGAAACCCACAAGCTATTTGGTAGCAGGTTGATTACACCGAACAGCTTCCATCTTGGAAGGGGCAGACATTTATCCTCACTGGAATAGATGCTTTCTGGATGTAGATTTGCCTCCCCTGCCTTTCATGTTTCTGCCAGTAGCATCATCTATGGACTGCCAGAATGCCTCATCCACCATCATGGGATTCCTCATAGCACATCAGCAATTCTCATAATGTGGCTCTTTTCACAGCATGAAGTAAAGCAAAGGGCTCATGGCCACAGAGTTAACTGCTCCCACTACACGCTGTACTATCTGGGAGCACGTAGGCAAGTTTTAAAAGTTATAAAGGAAGGTTCAGTTATACTGTCAGTTGGCAGTCAATGCCCTGAAAAGATGGGTGATGTCTTGAAGGATACTGTCTATTTTTTGAAACAGAGAAGGGTGTTATCTATTTCTCAGGCAGAACAGAGGAGTCTAGAAATCAAGGGATGAAAGTAGATTGGGTCATTATTATATCCAATAATTAATTCATGGAATTTGCGTTTCCCCTTCTGGCTACATTATGGTTATTTGGAAGTCTCTGGACCAAGAAGGACCTGCTCACCATGAGACATACCAATGGCTCCATGGGGGCCCCAACTGATACTGCCCTTGGCCTTACAGAGAAAAAGGAAAACACAACTGACGTGTTTGAGGAGTCCAGGAGAAGGACACCCTCTGGAAAGAACTTCTAGAAAATTCATTCTAATGACTTCTGAAGAGTTTCGATTCTGTCAAAGGTATATAAGAAGAGAGAAAACAGATGTGCATACTACTTTTCATTTATTTGCTTGTCTAAGTGGAAAGAAGTCAAAGCTTTGGGGTTGGTAGACATAGATAAATCTTTTCCAGTTCTCTGAGATATTTGGAGATGCAATGAAGAAAAGAAACTTTCTTACTATCTTCTCTGCAGAAGTTGTAGAGCTGAAATAGAGCAGAGCCTCTGTATAACACAAGATTAATGTTAGGTTGATTCCAATTACATACTCTACTTACCTCCTAAACACAGGCCCAACTTTAAAACCTTTCCTGTTTTTGCCCCTATTGTAGTGTTGCAGTTAAGCATAGAGTCTGACTGCTAAGGTTTGATTCCTGGATAAAAAGTCAATTTTTGGCTCTGTGATCTTAGGTAAGTCAATTAATCTCCCTGTGTCTAAGTTTCCTAAGCTGTAAACTGACGGTAGTAGTAGTATCCACTTTGAAATGTTGTTTACAGACTTAGTTACGAAAACATCCAAAGTCCTTGTGACAGTACACAGCCCACGGGAAGCAATGAATAAATGTTAGCAATTGTCAATACATTAAAATTTGGCAATGCATCCTCGAAGTCTGCTTCCCAGGAAGGTAAACCACTTCACATCTCTCTTCTCTCTTTCTCTAGCAAACCTACAGGATACCTAAGTAACTGTGGAGGATTGAATTGTGTCCTCAACTCCCCCATTCATATGCTCAAGCTCCCCCCAAAGTGACTATATTTGGCACTGCTGTCCCCTGGGGTCACGTGGGAGATAACTTGATTTTACTTTTTCTACAGAATTTATGAAGGTCCCAGACTGAACACCAGATATGCAGGGATTGTCTTTGAGGAGCTCTCCCTCTTCGTTCTGCGTTAGGGCCCATCTCAGGGTTTGTAAGAGTAAGAATTTGGTTGATCGAAAGCTGGGCATAGGGACTTAGTGAAGCCCTGCTTGAAACTGAAAAAATACATAAAATTTTAAAAGGGGCTGGGGATGTAGCTCAAAAGATCTTGGGTTCAATCCCCAGTAACACACAAGAATTCCACTGACTGAATCTCTGACCAGAGCAGCAGGATTCTTACCTGTCCGTTGTGGCCTCTGAGTCTCTTAAGGCTGCCTGGAATCCCGATCTTTTCATCACATGTTGAGGCCCAAAGTGCTCTCTTCGGTTTCTTCAATTCCCTCCTCCCCCAGTCCCTCCTCTGTGGGCTGGATTTGCACCACAGCGCCACTTTTCACAAACTGTGTGGCCTCAACAAGCGCTCCTGAATGGGATCCTCCTAACTGAAGGTTTAGGACTCCAGGACGATTAGGGGTTCTGGGGAGGTGAGGTCTAGCCTCTCAATTTTCTTTTTTTTTTTTTTTCCTGGGTTTTTGAGATGAGGCAGGGTCTCACTGTGTAGCCTAGGCTGGCCTCCAACCCACTGCGATGGTCCTGCCTCAGCCTCTCCAGTCCTGGTATTCCAGATACGTGCCGCCATGCCCAGCTCAAGCTCAACATTTGAATTTTTATTTTCACTTCTGTATCCTCTCTTCTTCCAGATTTTCGCAGGAACGCTTCCCTCCAGGTTACAGAACTCAGGTGGTTCCAACGCTCAAACTTACAAAAGCCAAATTACCAAACTGCTTGCAGAACAATTATTGTAAAGCAGTTTGCTTATCTTACAGGTTAGTTATGTATAATACGCATATGTTCGATGAGGGGTATATCAGACACCTGACATGATCTGCATGACATACGGTAATATATAAAATATATGATCGTGGTTTACAAACTCTTGTTTCTTCTTAACTGTACCAGGAATAATCAAAGCAATTTAGAGAGCATAAAACTGTTAAGTCTGAGTCGCCTCAAATTCATCATTGGCTCCTGAAAAGCGGGTTGGAATTTACTTCTGAATTTCTCGGGGGCTGGGTGTTCACAGTCTTTTATCAAGGCTTTTTGAAGATCAGTAAAAGATAATCAGAATCAGAATGAGAATCTGAAAAAGTTTATTAGCCCATACTTAATCTCTGGGAAGATGAAATCGGGTTTGATCTCTACGTGTTTTGCCTCTAAATGAACTCCACATAAAATAAAGACTTACCGAGCCATTACTCACGGCTGTCCACGTTTGGGTCAGTGCTTCACACCCTGCTACAGCTCAGACCGGCCCGGCCCCGGCGCGGCGACCCTGCTCCGCCGCGAG